AAGAGCCATTTAAACACTGATGTGGCTACCTTGGGTAAAGAGGACCCACAATTATTATTATCAATTATCTGTCTAGAATCGTCACCTTTGTAATAATGTCTTCCTCAAAAGAAGCCAACATGCTATAAAATATAGTTATGATGTGTTCTGTGTCTCTTGAGCGGACTTAAAAAGGTTTGATGTACCAGCAAGTATTCTTTTTTTTTACATCAATGTCATCAAGATCCTCCTAGTGTGACAGCTCCAAAAAAATCTCTCTTGTGAAGCATTACAATTGTCAAAGACCTCTTCTGGAAAATATTCATCCAGAAGCTAGTTTCTGAGAAAAAATCTAGAGTCTGAATACGACTCGTATAGCTGTCATGAGAGAAATAAATCATTCCCTCCTGCAAGATGTGTCTATAAACGTTTCTCCCTTTAGACTAAACATGATCATGTTCTAAATATTTACCGAGGAATCCATATTCAATCATAACATCCTGGACGTACTGGGATACAATGGCATCCATGCTGGATTCTTCATCTCCCCTAAGAACTTACATTTGTAAGTTTTGTTTATCAAGTAATAAACTCATGTTCAAGCTATTGTGAATTCTGCTTGTCGCAAGATGGCTATGTTTCGTTGTTGTTTTACAAATCTAAATGAAGAAAAGATTGTGACTCTTTATCAATCAATTGTGAGACTAGCGTTGGAATTTTCATCAATGGTTTGGAGCCCTTACACTAGAGAAGGTGAAGACGAGGTGTCTAGGTCTTAGCAGTAATGAGACCAAGACCAAGATAAAGTCTTTACAGAAGAGAAGACACAATACTCATTTGATCGATAATTACAAATATCTTCATGATATACAGTATATACTGTAGGAATAATTCAGAAAAGTTCTTCTCTGCTCCAAACAAAGATCTAAGAGGTCATACAAAAAAGATTTTCCAAAGACGTACTCGCACAAAATTAGCTGGCCACTTCTTCTCAAATCCAGTGGTCCAACCCTGGAACAGCTTACCTAATGACACAGTATCTGCACCCACTGTGGCTACTTTGAGAAGAAAACTGAGAGCCCTTCCCATAGGACAAGGGGGCTCATCAACCAAGTATTAAAAGTATACCAAGTAAGTAAAACTCTGAACATTATTGAGGTTTTTGTTTTCTTCAAATGCACTTGGAAAGCTCTTTACCTAGTTAATTTGTGCAGTTTGGTTTATTAAAGGTCCTGACCCCCCCCCCCCCCCCCCCCCCCCCCCCGAAAAAAAATGTTTTGTGAGATTTCGTGATTTAGATGATGAATAGCAGGTAACAGAGATGTTTTTATGAAAGAAAATATTGCAAATTTGAAGTGAAAAATAATTGTAATCCCTTCTTGTTTCTCACCAGGGAATGTACATGTATGCTGTGATTTACTAATCAATCAAACATATAGGAGACCCTTGAACTTGGTTCAAAACACAAAGTTTGATGATTTAAAGACCTCAAATCCAGCTCCAAAAACTGTTATAATGCCTCTTTATTCAAACACATAACCCTTTGGTTGTATAGGTAAGAAGTCATGTACAGTCATAAACACACCACAGCACCCAATAATCTGCTCTTTGTGTAAAAAGCTAAACTGCTCATTCTTCAGTTTTTTACTTCTTCTTCAAAATTGCAAATACTTTTGTAAGAACAGGCACCTCAGGCACTACATCATAACAATAACTTTATTCCCCTTTGTAGCACTCTCGATGACGATTCACTATAAATCAGACATGACATTTCTAATGGTATATCGGAACGACTTCCAAATTGCATAGCAGAAAGAGTTTTGCTTTGAAGAATGTATTCTAAGGATACAGAAAGTCAACTATAGAAATGATTTTGCCTTCTAAATCAAATCTCGGGCGAGAATGTGGGTTGTACGACAGACCCTGCTTTGTTTTCCTCACGGTACCCCCTACCACACACGTCCACCCGCCTGCATTAATAAGACAGACTCTGGCAATGCAACATGGGCACTATGCAATATGACTGTGACACATTTAATGGCACGTACACAGGCCAACCTCAAGCCAAAAAGGGCAACATTACCAAGAAATGGAATTTGGCTGTGGTCCATGGGCTATTTTCTTTGTGGATTAATTGTAAGTTTGACTGAAGAAAATAAAGGGACATATCAAAGCAAAGTATTTAGAATACAATGTGGTGGATTGTGGTCTAAATGCACTCATATTTGGTTTATGGGGAAAATGAAAGCAATTTGTGGATAGATCAACAATACCTTGGTGTAATTATAGGAACTATTCTATTGATTTGTTATCAAGTTATCTAAACATACATTTCTGTGGTAGCTGTTGGTTCAAACAACATTAACTAAAGATGTGGTTTGCGTGATTATCATGAAAGCTAGATAAAAAGAAACATGAATCACAACTTTTCAGATCTTCACAGGCAAAGAACATTTAATCAATTGGGAAAGGGGAAGAAAACAATAATGGGAAGAGGGCAATAAGGGAAAAAAGAGAGGGAAAAAAAGAGAGATCAGAGTGCTTAGAATGAAAAGGAGATATATGTCAAGATGGAGGGAAAGATGGAAGGAGAAAAGAAAAAAAGAAGGAAAGATAGAGATTGTCATAGAGATAAAGGGAAGATTGTTATGAGCAACGAGAGATGGAGTAAAATAGAGTGACAGAGGTGAGAGGTTTGGTAAAATTGATTCCAAAAGGGTCATACGAATGCAAAGATCAAAATTAATGCCAGCAAATAAATAAATAAGCCAGATGCTGTTCACAGTCTACACATAAACAACAAAAGCAAATATGTAGATTATAGATAAAGGCGCTGTTAAAAGGTCAATAATAGTACATATTCAACAGAAGTAAGAGGTGCTTTATTTTTTTTCATGCATTTGAAATATCAGAAGTGAAAACAACGATGTTAGGGAGGTTTGCAATGTTTGGAACATTTTCAGGGCAGCTAAGATCACAAAAAGGCAGCACATATATTTTTTCAAGCATAGACAGTAAACATGAACTAGAGAGAGAGAGAGAGAGGGAGGGAAATAGTAAGTTCAACGGCTGCCAAGGCTGGGTTGCTTGCATAGAAGTTGTAATTGAGAACAAGTCACATTTCAAAACTACCCTAACATCAGGGGATCTAGGACAAGGCACCGATCGTTAATACATGGAAATAAAATGTCCAGGCATTATTTCATACAGAAAGGGAAAGCAAACTTATGATTGTCAAAAAGAGTATGGAATTCCTTTGATATAAACCCTGATTTTGATGATATCTATGATCTTAAACTTCTTTCATACAACAGGCAATGATATGATCTCCCATTATTAATAAGAACCAGAATTGCTGCTTTTTGCTCTAGGGATTGGCACTTGAATATAACTTGAACTCAATTGTCACTTTCTAAAGCATAGGCAAAATAATGCACAAAAACATTCCCACACACTACGTTTACTCGCACATAACTTCTGCAGAGAAAATCTAGACATTTCCATTAATGAGCCATTAATAGTAACTATGTTGAATATTCTTTTATTTTTTATTCTATTTTTTTTTTAAATTTTGAGTGGGTTTTATAAACTCGACATACCAGGTTCACCTCCTAAGTCGAACTTGCCTATATAAACCAGGCAAACAAGCAACCAAAAGAAAAGAAACAAAATCAAATATTTAAAAATCATAAACTGCAAATGATAAAATAATAAAATATTGATATATCTGATTTTATATACAACGAAGCAGCGATGCAAATAGAGATTCTTTTTAATCTTTCCACTTTTTGTTCAGGGGAAGGGTGCAATAATGAACAGATTTTATACAACAAGGCAGTATTAATGATAACATTGTTAACTGGATGTTAGTACATTTATTTCAAATGTTAGTGAGGAATGGGATTGGGGGGGAGGGGGGGAGGAGGAGGAGGAGGAGGAGGAGGAGGAGGAGGAGGAGGAGGAGGAGGAGGAGGAGGAGGAGGAGGAGGAGGAGGAGGAGGAGGAGGAGGAGGAGGAGGAGAAGGAGGAGGAGGAGGAGGAGGAGGAGGAGGAGGAGGAGGAGGAGGAGGAGGAGGAGGTAGATGAGCACTAAAGGATCAGGAATTTTCCTATGACTCCAAACAAGAAGGTCCAAACAACTTAAAAGAAAAATGGCAGATAATCAAATAAAACTTAATTCCAGCTTGGTTTGAGAGGACGTTGGGTAGTGCACTGTGTCTTACTAACTTTTTCTTGTGATAGGGGGGGGGGGTAGAATCTCCATAGGTTTATAGGGGAGTAAAAAAAAAGGTTATATCTGAAAAGTGTAGAAGAGAAGTCATAAGAATGACAAAGGTTTCAAGCCCTCAGAGAATGTCGTTTCGAGGCCTGAACTCTGAAGACTCTCAAAGATTTAAAATAACTGAGACAAGCACACTGCAGAAGTAGGCAATGGCAATCATAAACAGCCAAAGAACTGGACATGCATGTATTTTTGCCTACCGTCATACATGGTTTATAGTCTCTTTCTTTATATTCCATAATAAAGGTGCACAGTCCACATGCATGTATGTTAAAGTCTGTGAGTCGTATGGTATGAGGTACATTATGTGGTTTATGGCGTATGTAATGGTCCGTTGTCTGTGGTAGCCTAGTCTACATGGCCTGTGTAATGTATGAATGGTTTCAGGTGTATGATTCCTTGTTGAGTGTATCAGGTGAAAGGCAATATGATCGATGATACATGATATGACCTATCAATTACCTAAAGCCAATGACCTACATGTGTAGTTTAGATTATGCAGGGCACGGGCCTCCACAATACTCATCTACATATTCTTCATCTTGTAACAATTTAATTCATCTGCTATCAAGCCAGAAGGGCGTATAACTCTAGTTACAAATACATGAGTTAATACCCTTTCAGCTCTCAGCAGATGAGTTCATAACTGCTCAATGATTGTCTGCATTAATAAGCAACACAACATAGCTCTTGCATTATGCAGCTGCACGTGACTGGTGGCACAAGACTAACGACTTACAATTCTGTATTTGTGATTGTGCGGCTTCTAACTCCTGTAGGAGTGAGTCTAGCTCTGATACAGGCATGCCCGCCATCCTTGGAGGTGCTGGGGTAGGTTGGTATGTACTGTTCTGATAGCTAGCTGTAGCTGCCTTGTCGTATCTAGAGGGAGAGGGAGAGGGGGAGGGAGAGGGAGAGGGGGAGGGAGGGGGAGAGAGAGAGAGAGAGAGAGAGAAAGAGAGAGGAGAGGGAGAGAGGCATAAATACATACCAACAAAAAAAATATTGTCACTTTAATATACTTGGCATTGGTTAACTTCCACTAAACCTGTATGACAATGCTTCAATCATTTATTAATAACATTTTAAAAAATAATCAAATTAATTTTGGCTGCGAAAAGGTATAACAATAATGTTTTAGGTCTTGTCAGTGGATAGGCCTTATACAATGCTACAAAGGACCTGAAGTCCTGAACTTTTGTCTTTCCCAACAATTCAAATAAGGTTGCCTCAAACTTGGTCTTGATTTTATTCCTTCTAGAGAGTGGAGGGGAATCCTCCTGCTACCATTTTAATCTCAATGAGCATCCTCATGGAGCAAAAGGTATTTTTCTATGTTATAATGCTGCTTTCACTTTACTTGGTCAAAATCTTTAAAGATAGATACCTGAATACTGTAGGCTTGGGTAGTGTGGGCTTGGGTAGTGTCGGTGGGGGCTGTCTCCCGTTGGATCTCGACCTGGCTGGTTTAGGGGGCGCAACGCTACCCTCCTGGTGGTCTGAGAGGGGTGGTGATGTAGGGGTCCGAGGGGTGTAGTCAAGGTTGTAGGTGGGTGATTGCTGGCTGAACGAGTTCCCTCTGGTAGGCTCTCTGGTAGGCTCGGCGTACACCCGCGCGCTCGGTGGAAGATGGATGTCTTGGACTTGATACAGAGGTTCAGATTCAACTTGTTGGATCCTGTAAGAGCTCTTGTTTTGATGCGAAGAGACCTGGACAACAAAACAGATATAAGACAATAACAATCATAGAAATCAAAACGTCCATTCAAGGAAACAAACTGCTTCCCAGGTATCTGATAATGAGAGGATCCGCTTTCAAAAACCAACAAATTTTCTACAGTTCTGAAGTAGAAGTGATAACATCAAAGTTTGTATAACTATAAATGCAAAAATAAAGCGTTTTTTAATTGAGGAAATGGAAACACAGATGCAATTCTAAATTTCTAATACCGAAAGGACAAGTGTTGCACTTTTTACATGTAAGTCCTGAAGATATGGCTATGAGCTGAATGTCTCGTATTTCTTCTTCAGCTTTCTCTTTAGGATAACAATTCAGGGGTCTTGGAGCTTTTGGTATTGATGACATACAATGTAAGAGTGTAAAAGTTAAGTTTTCCAATATTTCATTAGATTTAGAGATTGAAAGAAACCCTAATTCTTCTGTCTGGTCTCATCTGTATGGCCAACAGAGTTTAGTATTAAACAGACTAGAACCACGCTTTGAGATTCAACATGACGATCTTGTCATAAAGGGTCTGAAATGACAGACCAGAATCAAGTTTGAGATTGAGCATAAAGTTCATGTTGGATACCAGTATCTCTGCTACCGGTATACAGGAAGGGTGTGGGGTTACACCCTCTGTTGCTCCTGTTAGTCCTGTATGTAAGGTTGGATTCCATGTACAATAACATACATGTAGGACTCATCTTACATGAATGGAGATCACAAAGACAAAACATGACTGCTAAGGGTCATTCGCACACAGAGCAATTAGGCATAATGTACATGGCAATTCAGATAGTGATGTGAACAAAAATCAAAATTTCCTTTTTCTTTTGTTTTTCATGTAACGACTCAAAATTATCACTAATATATAATAAATAAGTGACATTTGGATACGAGTTCAGTTAACACTATTCTTTAATGATAGTGACAATTAGGAGAATGCTCCGTATCACAAATTACAGTAAGAAAATTGATTTTAAGTGTTCTAAATGAGATGTGAACGGAGATACAATGTACCGGTACTTTATTTCCTGCTGTGTGAATGGGTCTATATGTATAGTTGGGTTGGGTTGGGTGTCCTACCAGGAAGAGAATGAACCAAGGAAGAGGATGTGAGGAGGAGATAAGACAGGAAACGCATCCTTACTCTCCAAGGTTCACCATGTATACCAACACATCATGTGGCTTTAATGACGGTAGTAGTTAATCCGAAACCACTTCCAAACTGGTTCAATCGGGTGTACATGTACATTATTTTGTAATAAACAGGAGCTATTTTTTTCCAAGGGTGGATGTGGTTTTTCAAAGAGAAATCCACTCATAAATGGGCATTGTAGGTCCATAGACTGAACATTTTAAATCATCAAAGCGAAACTGATGTTGTGATGCCTTTTATTAAACCCCACATCTTAAAAACTGTATACCAGTAATGTATAGACACACCTGAGAATGTGTCCTATTTATTAAAATACACAGGACCAGTATACAAACTAAAACAGGTTACTTTTTACCAATCTTATTGATGTCAATATTTGAAATCTGTGAAAAAATGAACTCTGTCCTTTTCAGGGCACTCTGTTCTATGGCTTGTTGACTTGCCAAAATAAACTTGACTATTGTTTCCTTGGATACGACATTACATGAATGTACTTTAAGAGAGGCATTCTCATTACCAGAAACCAATCTGCAACCGATTTATCAAAGCTCCTAAGATTGATTTGTCTAGGAATTGAATCTTGATGGAATGTTTGCAATGTGGAGTGGAATTTCAGAGGGTTCGTCTTGGCCCAGAGAGTTTGCTGTCTAGGCCAAGTGAGTGAAGAAAGATGGATGAGATGGGGAGATCAGTTTGTGTGAGATAAGTGCTCTCAATCTTTACAAGGTTCATCTGTGAAATGTATACAAACACACAACTAATTGTTATTATCCACAGATACATCATTTGGACATGTATTTCTTTGACTGGGATATTTCACATTTATATAACTACCGGTATATGGTTTCCTATGTGAATTTTGTTCTAAAAATCGGCAATGAGCAAACCAAAATACCATCACAAGTTGTACAGTGTACAGTACATGTTAAATACTGTAATAATTCCCTAATTTTTGTTCTTACTTCTCATCTATGAATGATATCTATCTCGTGGTGAAGATCATTGGGTAATGTTAAAATCCCATTTGCAAATCTTATATTATACCTAAATGCCATAGAAATATTGTATCATTTTGTTAAAAGATTAATCTCATAATTTGGAGTTACTGTCAAAACAATATCAAATGTTTCAATTCTATCCTCTCTTCAAATTCAAAATTTGATACAATGACAAACTTTGATTTCTTTCAAAGACACTTTCATTTTTGGGCTTCTCAATCTTCAAGAGCAGAAATACATGAAAAGAGAGTGAACAATGAACCTGAAAGTGAAATAAACCCAAACATCAGGCTTGTCTCTATCATATTTTGCTGATGAATGCCAGACTGATTGTTATGATATGAGCAAGCAATTGACACCAAACAGCTTGCCCTTTCTATATTAAGAGCTACCTCAGGCAAGACCGGGAGCAAAACACATTTTTGAGCTCTCATTATTAATCAAAACTTCAGAAGCTTCATGCTGGCGTTCATTTCGGGTGACGATGAACGTCACACAGTACAGCACTCATTACATCAACTCTTTACCTCTGATCTTTTATAGTTCACTTATTATTATGAATATGGACAGCTTGTGGTGTTACCAGGGGGTGAATTCTGAGGAATTCCAATCAAGTTTCATATTCTAACCTTCCTGAGAATATCTCTAAACCTATCATAATCTCTGCAATTTGGATTAACACATCGGTTCATGGCTAACATATAAACCAGTCACTATTGGGGGTTCATAGAATATTTACAAATGTGGATTTATGTTTCTCAAATGCATCAACTTGAAATCAATCTTGCAACAACAACAAAAATCACTGTTGGTGGTGGTGGGGGGGGGGGGGGGGGGGGGGGTGCGGTAAAATAAATGTACATTTTTCTACCTGTACAGTACATACAAGTGTATACGTACATGTACTGTTGTTATGGCTACTGCATCAGGAAAGGGCATGAAGTAACTGATAAATGATTTTCTATTTAATGAGGGGCAAGCATACGCAGCCATCATCTTTCTACCACTCTTCTTTTACAGAAAGCAGATGTAGAAGTAAGACAATTTGACATTTTTTACAGTTCTGATGACATGAGATCATACGTGACGAAGTACATTTTATTCCTTTTTGATCCTCTGGACTGCATCCCAATGAGATCTCCTTGGTATGCGGCAATGGAAGCAGGATCTGAGATGATCCCAACCCTACATATCTGTCTCAGACAGTAATGAGCTCTTTACAGACAAAAAAAAGGCTGTCTTCATCAGCTCGAGATTGCCAAATAGCACACTATTTCTGATTTGGGAAATAATCCCAAAGTTACAAATCGCTTCTTCATCAGCTCGAGACTCGACCTTGAAACTTGAGCTTGAGATATTTTGCTCAGCGTTCGCGCATAGTGCCAAATAGCGAGATATTTTACAAACTATCCCAAGATATCTTACGATGATTATCTTGACCAAATATCCCGCTCATTGCAACTTCGGGCTGATGAAGACGCACATTAACTGGATAATTTGTGATCAGGATAGTTCAAATAGCGGGATATTTGGCAATCTCGAGCTGATGAGGACAGGCCCAGACAGTAATGAGCTGTTTACAGACAAAGTGATAGAGGAAGGAAGGCATACCGGGTGGAAGACTTGTTTATAAGACGGGGTGACACGAGATAGCTGATGAATTTTGATTACATGGTGACGCCAGAAACAACGGTTGTATCTTTCCTTTTGATATACTTTGCTGCTTTATAGGAGGTTTGCCGATACTTTTAGGATGAACTTTAAAAAAATGGTATCTTCATTAAAATTGACATGGAGCCGGGGGACGGGGGTTCTCACTAGAAGCTATAATGATCATGTATTTGTACCATACAGATGCTGGTTTGACCGGCTTGGAGTTATGACGGCTTCTTTTGCTTGTAGTTTTAAACTTCAAATAATGGTTGTTTCAGTTCCTTGTGCACCCTCATCATCGTTAGCGGATCATCATTAAAACTTCAAGGTTTACTCTACATTCAGACTTCTGAAATTCGTCATATAGTTCTATCAGATTCGTATAACTATCGCTATACCACAAGTAATTCAAATTTTCTAGTCCGAATGTCGTATAAAAAAACGGCGTAAAAAAAAAATAGTGTATAAAAAAATACATGTTTGAGCATCGTTTTGAACAAAAACCCAATAAAGGATCAGGGTGCCGCTCTGGACCTTATATCTTATGAAACTGTAAAACTTGGTGGGTCTACTCTGATCATGACCACGCACGGGTGATTGGCCCGCTATCATGTAAGCTGACCTCTTCAAGAAAATTATGGTAGTATCTTTACACTAAATTTCTTAATAAACGATGTGGTTGTCCAGTCTGTACACCCTTTTGACTATGAAATCTGAGCCCGACACTACCTTCCTTTGGCAAGACGTAATCTACATTTGCCACTCTCCACCCAGGTGCTAAAAAGGTACTTAGTAGGATGCGAACGTTAATGTAGTGTAGTATGCTCAGCATTGTGAGTGTCTGTTAAATGGCGCCTGGCTGGAATAGACCCCAGGGAGTGGAGAATGTGCACACATTGTGTACGGGCGACCTTGAATTCGATGACCGGGGTAATAATATATCTGTAAACTACTTTAAGACATCGTTTATGTAAGCGCTATATAAACACAGAATATTATTATTATTATTATACAATGAATCTCTGTATGATGTTTCTTTATACGAGTTTCCTTTGAATTTTAAATGGTCTGAAAAGGCTATTAAAGTTTCAAACTTGATAAAAGTATCCTAGTAACTTACTGGACTAGGTGACGGTGAGAATCCGTTGGCTATCTCAGAGTAGATGGGTGATACCGGTGTCTGCGGAGATAACGCCCCTCGAGGGTAGGAGTAAGGCGAATCTTGGATGTTTCTGTCTCGGTTCTCCTTCAACTGTATTCTGGTATTGTCAAGGTCTGCTAGTAATGCATCTGTGAAGGAACAAATGATAAAGGAAATACAATTTTTAATTACTGGAAGGATAAATACATTTTTCAGTACTACAGTGTAGATTTACATGTCATTGAAAAAAGACATACAGTAATACATAAAATATGAGCCATTTAGTATTAGGAAATAAAATGCAAATAATTCTTAATATGTGTAACCATCAATTTGATGTAGATTAAAACTGTCACCAAACACGGAAAACCTTGTGGAAAGTAACAATTCATGTGAACCCCTACTTTTACTCACAAACATTGTACCATCATGTACATTTCACGTCCAATATGATTCCGTGAATGAAACGAGATATGGCACTGTTCCACACATACTTTCAAGAATGCATTTGTCATACAAGAACGATAAATGACACTCGAACAATCATGCCAGGCATATAAATGTAAGTTACAAAAACTAATAGCACACTCAGTTTGTACATATGTACACATAAGTATTTCCTCCTTTTTTCCCCATCATAAATTATGCATACATGTACTGTACATGTACAGTACACTGTACCAGTATGTGTGTAGGAATCCCTCTCATATGACATGTACATGATCTTTCTATGTTGATGTACATTATTATGTTTATTGTATCTGGTTCGCTGGTTATTATGATATTTGATCATTATGTTTGCATTGTTCAAATGCCATTGTTTATTTCTATCCTCTCCCCTTTCACAGAAATAGAAAATATAGAAGCTAACAAAAAAATATGAATGTTTTATCACTCCTTCATCACATCAGCTTCTCATTGACACCCTTGCCTTCTCCCTAAATTTATTCCTCTTCACATCCAGGAGGTTCTGTTGATGCACATTAATATGTTTATAGCATCTGGGTTGCTGGTTATTATGACATTTGACCATAATGTTTGCATTGTTCAAATGTCATTGTTTGTTATGATGATCTCCTCTTACACAGAAATAGAAAGTGTAGAAACTGACACGAAATTCCATGTTTTATCATTCCTTTACAAAAATCACATTAGCTTCTAATCGACATCGATGCCTTCTCCCTTAAAGGTATTACAAAGTTTTGGTATGGGGTCATGAATTTGGTTCAAATTAACACATTGGAAGCATATGCGTTCCTACAATATACATTGATCGTTGTCGCGGTTGAAATCGAGTCTAAAGTTATGAAATTATAAATAATAAACTATTTATGTTGTATAGCTCCCTCTCAAGGTCAAGATATTAATTTAGCTATGAAACAATGTTTCTTCACTAAAATCGACCGATTAGCTATTCCCGTTTGGAAATTATATATCCCAACTACATATTCTGAGATTTTCATGGTCGCAGCTACCATTGTACGGCCATAGGCGCTATTTGAAATTAATCAAAATTTACCGGGAGCACCGGTAAATTTTTATATTCAATTTTTCTCGAAAACAGAGGTGTTTTATGGGCTAATTTTTTTAGTGCTTATAATACATCCACAGGGGCATCCAAAATCCAAATATATCAAAATTGTAAAGATTCACTATCCACCCAATTTTCAAATTTCCCAAAACTTTGTATTACCTTTAATCTATTCCTCTTCTTATCTTTTTCTCTCTTTACTTGTCTTGTAGAGGACTAGAGGTACATGGATATTTCACAACCATCTACATGTATATATGTTCATGTTTTTCAATTATACACCAAATACATGTACACATTTTTCATCGTTTACAAATGCAGCCACATGAGAAGTGAAATTGATCTTGAATCTACTTCAGCAGCTTGATGGGCAATAAATATTTCATTAGGAAATGAATCAATCAAACTGGCAATTAATTATGGTCTACATGTACTGTACATTGGGTCAGGATGCACTGTTATGGCAGTTTAGACTTAAAATGGCAAATTCTAGATGAGATCATTGTTCATTATTATATTCTGCCATCAGACAGTATTAACAGGCCCCTACTTGTATCAGATCAAGAAGTATGAAGGCTAATGAACAGATCAGAATTTAAGAACAATTTAATGGATGAATGGTGTGCAGAGATTCTAAATTACATCCTGGAAGTCATTAGCAAAGCCATGGACATACATGTACACAATAGAGAGGGCTTAAATGTGTAAGCCTACCTGTACATTGTACATTTACGGGTAGTTTACAAACAGTGTCTGTTTTAGCCAGAAGGGCGTAAACCATATACTTCAACACAGAGTAAATGCCCTTCTGGCTCTGAACAAAAAATGTAGTGATGGTTGTAGATAATAATTTTGTAGTGGGATTAGGCTTTTTATTAAAGGTAAAGACCAGTATTGGAAACGCCCCAATTTCAAAAAATGAAATGGAAGCTCTCATTACCAATCATGTGAAAGAATATGTTTTGACTATTACATGATGATAAAAAAATTTGCCGGGAAACCACCTACTAATTCATATATTTGGTAAATTTGTTTCTCTCATGGTCTGTGAGAGATATAGGGTAGTCCCATATACATCTTTCTGTGTATAGTGCTTGTGACTTTACAAAGAATGGGCCAAATTTCTTATCATTTTGATGATTCCAGAACCTTGCAGATGCTAGATGCTAGATGATCAACCTTTTTCTGATCGATTCCACAACGTTTCTTTCACAATGCAATCGCATGACCATAACTGGTCTTTACCTTTAAGGCCATCAAACTTGCAGACCTACAATGTAAACCTGCACATATTAGTGAGATGACACATGAACTGATGAGGATAATCCTTGTTTCAGAGAAAGACTAACATCTATTTCCAGCCAAGACTAAATATAAGAAGAAATCATTTTGCTGATGAGTCTTGAAAGCCCGATGATTGGAATGATTCAGAGAGAGAGACCTTGGCAGGACTGAGGAGGTCGATAACGATGACGAATGACACACTGCCGTCATCTTCCTCCTTCAAGGAGAGGAGAGGAGTGACTAATACATGCATCCTAGCTGCTTGCATCTATTACCATGACGATCAAGAAGATGCGTTCCATGCTTGCATGGGGATCACTGGGCTGAGCTGAGATGGACGATGGGAGATGAGGGATAGAGTGATGTCTCAGACTACCTCGTACCAAAAATAGAAACACTTTAACCGGATGACAGGCATAGTAACACCAGTGTGGAATGAAGACAAATTGAGCTTGTGCTGAGCTGTGACAGAAATTTAGCCTAAAGATTTTTGTTATGTTTTTATGTCAAGATACTTGTATTTAAAAAAAATTCACATTACAAATCATAATGAATATTACATCCATGATACAATGTATATGACATGTACATGTATCACAATTTAAAGATTACATCTAGTTTGGCAGGGATACATTTCACTTTGAAAAAACAAAACTGTTTTCAAAGAAACCAAATCTGTTTCCTAATTCGGCCATCCTTTTACAAAGATATTAAAATACCAGTTAGAAGAGGTTAGCAAAAATTAACCGCTTTTTATTAAAAAGTAAAGAACCCTGTTCAGCAGTGCCTGTACTTTTGCTAGTTTCCAACCTCTCAAAATAACTCTGCATTACCGGTAATACTAACCCCTCTATAAAAGTCTCTCTGCATTAATACTAAATGGGTAACACTGAAAAATATTCATAAGAAAACAATTTTTGCAATGAAAAATTTGAAGCTTTCGCCCAGATTACCAAGGTGCGAGCCAATATTGCACTCAAGCAAATCCTTCCCGGCTGTTCACTACAAAATGTCACGGTCACAAGCTATGAAGCTCTCTAAGGTTCAATGTTAATGGGCGATGGAATCCCCCATTCATTACTGAGATTCATTACTGTATACTAACTAGATTAGACTAAGTGGTCGTTGAGGGAGGGCTTCTGATCTATGTGTGCTTTGGCTCTAGTGTACATACTGTATGAGGATGATGTTATCAGTCTTTTCAGAATACATCTTGGCTTATTCACATATGATTCAGGAAAAAAACATGGCGATTTAGGTGTTTTTATCTCTTTTTTTACTTGTAATTGAATGGAATGAGCGGATGAAACAAGTTTCTGAGGACAAGAACCAGGGAATAATTTTCCTGGTACGAACAGGAAGAAAAGGAAGAAAAGAAAGATAAAGAGAATGAAAATGAGAGAGAGATTAAAATAAAGGAAGGAAGGGAGAAAAAATGAAAGAAAAATAAGAAAGAGAGAAAGAAAAAAGGAAGGAAAGAAATATGAACATGTTACGCCCAAGACCTTTATAAACAAAAACGCCTCGGTTTATCAGGACGTATGTGAAGGGGCCTTAAAGGTGCTACATGTATGTCCCTTTTGCAGCCAACCTCAAATTCTGTAGAACTTTGCAGGAATTATGAATATGTCATGTATGTCCTATCTGTGAAATTTAAACGTTAGCAGTGTCCTCATATTCAAATTATGCAAGGAAACCTGTTTACTTGCTAGACTTCACTGTCAGACACTATTGAGTGACTGATTGGCTTTGGTAATAACATACATGTACATGAAAAGAGTTGTAAAGGGTACATAAGCATTTGTCTCCATCAATAACCCACTTCTTGTGATGGCCAAGATTAAACTGATTGAATCTTTGCGCAGCATAAAACGTATGACCATTCGGTACAATTATCTGAAAATAAGGACTATTACTTTTGGGCTCTATAGCCCTAAAGTCGATTTGACAACTAATAGTCATTATTTTCCCACTTGGACATTTTTAAGCCCCACCTTTTTTATGGAAGTTCTAAATAAGTATTATCTTTCAAATGCAGTTGGAATTTAACTTTTTCATTTATTGGCCTGCAAATGGGACATTGTACCTTTAAGCCCTCGTCCATTAGATACTTGGTGATGGGATGACTAATACATGGATCCTCTGTGCTTTGATACCATCTAATAGATAGGGTATTACAGATGCTGTTTACACATCACCAGGTGAGGCATTACGAGAACCCTTTGGAGAATAGTGATGGGGTCGAGGGGTCAGGCAACTAAGAAATATTACTATTCCTCCATGAATGCTTTATAGAGGTTGAAAAAATGACACAAATCTACATGTACCAGGGAT